CACAAAATAATAAATATTCATTGAGATATTAACATTTGAAGTTGATTGAAATAGAATTACAGAGGCGGGCGTTGAGTGTAGACAGGCGTTGAGTGGTTGATTACGTTAATAAGTTAATAAAATATCAACATTTTATACTGATTTTAACAAATGTTTGCAAAATCTTGTTTAATTAATAACTTGACTTGCAGTAAAGAGTTCTACTTTATATTAAGTTTTATTAATTAAGCTCAGTTTTTATTACATAAAGGCTTTCATGAGTAAGAAGTAGCAGGTGCCAGCGGTGGGATTCAAACCCACGAACTCTTAATGTGTGCGGCCTTGATTACCAGTCTTACCAACTGAGCCACGCTGGCTATAATCATTCTTAAGAAAGTGTACAATTTCATTGATAGTGAAATCACTAAGTTGAGATAGCATATTGATGATAAAGGTAAGAAAGGCGCGTATTTGAATGATATTTGATTGAAAAAGACATGTATTGAATGATAATTGAATGATTCTAGAGTAATGTGAATATTTTGATTTTTTTGTGGTGTTTTGCTACTAATTTTCAGGGGGGGCTGGGAACATTCTGTTTTCACAAGCAATATGTCCGCCACAATAGCTGAAACAGATAGAATAATTAATAAAGTATTTTGCTATCTAAACCACGTTGCATGTGTAGATAAAGTTCCAGGGACGATCTCCGTGATTATCTCCTGGGCTTTGGGCTTGTTTATTGACGCCAATTGTAGGCTTTGATCCAGCGCCAATCCTCACGTGTGGAGAATCTGGCGAGGAAGAACCAAACCATGGAAAGCAACCAGATATCACTGCATGAGAAGGTTGCCAATGCGTTCAGGGAACGAAACATTCCCGTTAAACGCGAGGACATCGCTGCTACTCTGGTAGATGCCGACACTTGCAAATGGATAGAAACCCATCTCACACCAGAAACCCTTCTGTCAAAGGAGGAACTTACCTTGTACGTCCTGTCCTATGCTTCTCGCAAACACTACTGCAATCTGCCTCTAGCCAAGGAGCTCTTGCTAACCGATATCTCCTTTATTCTAAGGTATATAAAACTCGAAGCAACTGGTTCCCTCAAGTCTATCTTACAAGGACAAGAAATATCATCCACACGACCTTTCCTGGACGATGAAATCCGCGACGCGATTGGATCACTCACAGCTTCGACCGCGGCCATTGAGCACCAAACTAAGACCCTAAAGGTGCAATGCAAGGAGCTAAACTCCCAAATCCGCAATGGAATCCGGTCGCGACAACGGGAGGCGAAGGCATGGGAACATTTGAAAAATAAAAACGCGCGGGAGAAGGAGCAGATTGATGTTGCTGTACATTTGCACCCACCTTGAACACTGCATGCATGTTGTTTTCTTTATTGCATACATTATATTGACGTCCTCTTGCAGGTTGAAGACTTCACTCACGACTTTGAGGCGACTCTTGGCTCAGTGCAGTCTTTATTTTCCACCGAAGCTAATACCTTGCTCCCTCAATTGGCTAGTAAATTGAAAGACGACGACCGATCCATGCAGGGCTTGGAAAAAATAGCGTCGACAATTCAAATAGATACCAATTATAAGGAGCTTAGAGCACGGGCTATCGAGCTTACCGCGAAACTCGCCAGATACCTTGCCGAGGCGGTTCACTCACGGTTGGATCGGCTCTATACTGAAACTTTACAAAGCAGCCCACCTGGCCTGGATGAATACGATGAAGAAGCGGTAGCGGCTCTCCAGGAAGAGATAAGCTCATTATATTCGGAGATTGAGATTCTTTCAGAAATGGCCACCGAGCAGCAATTCAGGGATCCGATACTTCGTGCTCTTCAGAGTAGGGGGACAGAGGCTCATTCTACTTCTCAGCAGCAATTGGAACAAGTTCGTACTCTCGTCCTTTCTGTGTCACTTTGCTATCATATGCAACCGACGAATGAACATAAAATCTAACTTTAAGTTAGATTTTCGATACTATACTTGAATTAACACAGTCCACAGAGCGAATAACGGAGAGGCTAAATAACCGACAATCCCACCGGACGGCGTTAAGCTATCTAGCTGCAAAATACAAATGTGAACGGGAGAGTGAACTTTCAGAGCAGCAGACAAGTAAAACAACCACAGCACAAAAACGATTGTCTCGAGTATCATACGCGCCCGCAACCCCTAAGGACACTGACCGAAGAAGTTCAATATCTCTCCCGCTTGATCATAGCTCAAAAGCCCTTGATCAGCTCCTCCGGCGGCTTGGAGTTTCCATTATCGATCTAGTGGAAAGCAGGTTAACAGATAACCCTTCAGCAGCTCTTGATGAGAAGCAGCAGCACATGCTGGAAATGCTTCAAAATCTGCAGTCTACCGCAGAGTCGCCTCTTTCCGTCTACCTAGAAGCAGCAGACCAAGCGGCCCAGTTACTGCATTCAGCGCTGTATGCAGATTCGCCTTTCGAGGTTTCAATGGCTGATGCCG